AAACCTATGATGCATTAATCAAATTATTAAGAAATTGTGATGAAATAAGCACACGTAAAATTCAAAATCACCGTTTACATGAAACTTGAAAATTGGCAGAAATAATTAATAATAAAATTTCGAAGAATTGCGTTACGCAATAATTCAATTAAGAAAAATCGAATTTATTTTTCGAATTGTCTCGAATATTTTAAAATTTCACCATCAAAGAGCCGATTTTTCGAATCGCCACATTTTCGAAACGCTTGAAATCTCTGAAATTCTGTACGACATCCGAGTTTAGTCTACTTCTGGCCCACGAATATTTGAACAACGGTTATCATACTGAAAGTCAAACATCATCCCTGCCGGTGGAATATCGGGGACGATGACAGATTCTAGTAGTCGTAGGACCACAGCGGGGAACCAACACCGACCGATCGAAATTCTAGAAGTTGGAGCTGCGGGTTACCGACACCCGACCGCAAATTACCGATTCAACGACCAATCCGATTCGATGAATTACGCAAGTTCGCTACCCGGGACGAAACTATCGAGAACTCGATAAGAAAGTGGGAAAGTTAAAAGTGTTATATCGTGCTTACAAGATCAATATTTGTTATCGAAATTGGAATTATTGTTTTAATTGCTACTTAGCGGAATATTTTATTAATTTTAATTATTGGTTAAAAGATTAACGGTAGAGATATCAAAAGTAAGACGTAATTTAATTTTAAATATGCTTTTTTTTTTCAACTTCTTAGATGGCTCTTTAGTGGCTCTAAACTAATCTAAGTTTGAATGACCTAAGCTTTTTAATCTAACCTAATTTTCTTTAAATTCTTCTATTCCATAAAGTTAGATTCTAATCTAACTTTAAATAACTTGATTAATTGTTTAATTTTATTCGTGTTTTTTCGATTCTTGAAACGTATTAATGATTTTTTATTAGAAATAGTAGCAACAAGAATCAGATTAAATAAATACACATTTTTTAGGTTAAAAATACAACACATTTACAAAATACATCAAATTAAACTTTTCAAACTATTTTTAACGAGTAAACATTGCGTTCATAGTAATTTGCAATCCAATTTATGCAATCCAATAATGTTCACTCTGCTGAAAAACAATTCTCGAATGCAATACTCGTATATAAGAATAAATCTTTAGAAAAAAAATAAATTTATAATAAAACTTTCGAGATTAATGCAATATCCATTACACCTAAAATAATTTTTAAGAACAATTTTAAAGTGGAAATTCATTTGAAAACTCTAAGAAAGTTTAATATCACACATAATATTCACTACATACGAAATAATAATTCCCAAAACCAATTTTTGAAAATTTTCAAATATCTTCATGATATTATTTTTTATCTCACACTGAATTGACAATAATTATCCAATAATTTTCATTCTCAATGCAGTATTCACTAACAAAAATAACTCTCCATAATTTTTTCAATTTATAAATTTTTTTAACATTTTATACAAAAGTTCACAAATAACTTTAAATTATCCAAAGTTTATCTATAATCTAATGTTTTGCATTCAAAGGTCACAGAATGCTTTAACTCGTCCAAAAACTTTATCTTATCACGTACAGAAATTAAGAAATGTTCTCTTATTTTCGATTTGCTCGACACTTAACCTATAAACTTTCGCGTGCACAAAGTTCACAAATTGCTTTAAATTGTCCACAGAATTCGTCCAAATCGTGTGTACACACACTGGATGTGATTATTATTTTCGATTTGCTCGACACCTAACCTACAAATTTTCACGTGCAAAAGTTCACAAAGTTTCGAACCAGTCCAAAATCTGGATCCTATCGCGTGTCGTCTAGATACCAAGTGTTTTATTATTTTCGATTTGCCCGGCACAAACAACGGCCAGAGATTTGATAATTATCAGAGCATCCCCAAACATCGTTACTGACCGACCGCCTAGATTCGCGCCACCCGTTCTCTCGTCAAACATTATGCGCTCCGCTTAATGAGATTGATGCAATCGGCCGGCGCATTTAATCCAGTTAATTTACATTGGGTCCTAATATCGCACGCGAATATTCCGCTAATGCAGTCGGTAATGAGAAACAGAAAATTGCTTGTACAAACCGGCCCCCTCCCCCTCCACCGGACCTCTTCCCCC